GGCTTCTACATTATTAGTTTATAAAATAAAGTTTCTATAGTGTCATACAAAACATTTTAAGGTCAAATCCTAAATAGGATGTTGGATAACTTCTTGCTGTAAATGATTATATTTTCATTCCTCAGATTCTTTCTATGAAAAGAGACAGAAACCCTTCCACAGTTCAAACTGTTCAACAATGTAACTGGAAATTGTCATATTTCTCTAAGCTACTCCAGGCCTAATTTCATATTTTTTTATATGATGGATATTACAATTACATTTTAACAGAAGAATCTTTTCATCATCTGAAAAATATGATACTTATTACTGCAAAGAAAACCCACATTGTAGAAGAGCTATTTCCTAAAATTATATTGGAACCATAACATTATGTATTATAGAAAAACTGTTCTATGTATATAACTTTTGTTCTGGAACAATTTTAATTTTTTGTATTCAGAATGAATGAACATAAACCATGTAATTCTTCCACTAAGAAATTAGTCCTATGCATCTTTATTTAGAAATAATTCCTACTTTATCCTGTAAGTTTACATAGAATTGCAACTAAAGTTTCTTTCATTGGAAGATTGCTTTAAAAAGAGAGTAATAACCTGACTTTAAGAGAATAACATAAAATTTCCCATTTATCTTATAAATCTTTACTTGAAAATAAATACTTTTTTGTAGTATTGAAACACTTAGCTGGAAGTAATTCCACTGAAAATTATTTGCTTCTGAGTTGATATATCATCAACTTGAGCATAATTCATGTGACTATGTGGACATATCCATATGGTTTTCTTGTTAGCATTAAGGAAGTTGTTTGCCAATGCTTTCTTCCTGTATTTATTTTTACTTTCCAATCTATAGTAGTCTAGAATCCTGGGATTCCCATTTGATCCTCTATGCAAATGCTAACTATGCCCAACTTTGCTTAACTTCTAAAATCAACCAAGATCATCTAAGTGCTGCTGCTTGCTGAATCAGCCTGATGCACACATATAGTCTATAGGGCAATTTTTAATTAGGAACGCCATTCTAATTTTAGTAAGTTTTAAATTATTATTTAATCAGAATAAAAGTACTTCAAATTATACATTTGAAAGGTATAATTTTAGTTGAACTTTTAGATAAAAATCTACCTTGGTTCTGGAAAATAAGTATAACCCAAAGTATGTTTTCATAAACATAAAAATGATTCCAGTTCCTTTTGTTAAGAAGTTCACTTCTGTATAGGCTGTTACGCTCTCATCTATCTGGAACGCTATAGCAAAATCAGTTAAATAGCAATTCTATTGCCATACAAAAGTAAGCACCATTGGAGTCAATTAGATTTGGTGGGATTTATTTCTAAGTAAACATATATAAGGTTGCATTGTTGGCTTAATAGAACACCTGCATTCATAACCTTAATAATCTATGAACAAGATTTTGCACTAAAGTGTAATCCCTTAATATTCTGATTATTCTGGCACAAAGAATTATAAGAAAACATGTCAATAAATGGGGGAGGCATATATTAGCATTCCATTGTGGCATATAAAATTTATATCTTGATATTCATCAACAGCTGTCATGATAGTTAATGAACTGTGAAATAACAGTAAAACCAAAAATTGTGCTTGGCTATTGTAACAAATAAAAGCATTCTAGTTATTAAAAACACATTAAAAGTCAATGAAAACAGTAAGAACAAAGGGTTAAAACCAATCCAGTTTACTTGCTGAAAAGCTGAAGCAATTGTAAGAAGCAGGAGTCCTGCCAAGGAAAATTGTTTTCCTCTCTCACTTCTTCCTATACAGACCTGCCACAACAATAGTAGAATCTGAATATATCACTATCATCTCATTCACTTGCCAGAACAAGGAGCATCCATATAAATTACTATGATCCTTCAGCAGATTTGATGATTAGTTTTATCCTTGGATGTGTGGGAATGGAACAATGCTGAAGCTGCACTGTGCTGCGTTCCAACACTGATATTTAGATACCTAGATCCTAAACAGGTAACTAAACATACAAGTGATGAAAGAAGGGGAAGGAACTGGAACGATTCACCAAATTGTGCATGAATACTTCTCCGTTTCTGAAAGAAAAAACAAACAATAAATTTTCAGTTGCCCAGAGAACATTCACTTCTATGAACCATTGATGTTGACTATTCCTGAATGTGCAGAAAATATTGAGCACATCTCCTTCCAGAAAGGCAATGCCTTTATCTTCAATGTAAGAAAGCTTTATTTTGTGATGTGCCTTTTAGAATCAAAAATAGATTTCATCATATCTGATTTATTTATTTATTTATTTATTTATTTATTTATTTATTTATTTTTGTGGGTTAAACTGGAAGTATTTTAAAGAAAAGAACTGATAGTCTGGCTGTGGCTAAATGCAAGACAGCCAAATATTGATCAAGCCTTTCCACACAAAAGCACTGCTAATGCATCTCTGTTCCACCCTGTAACATTCTTGCTATTCCAGCAAAGGGTGTGGCCAGCTATAAGGCAGGCAGGTATGACTTCCCCCTATTTATTAAATGACAAGATTTCTAGCTTCTGCTTTTCAATGCTCCTGTTATCCTTCTCTCTCAAACCCTTTTATCCAAGTAACAGGTTGTTCTTGCTTGATATGAGTAGTGTGATTGTCAGCAATATAAATACTGTAGGATCACTAAAATACTAATGGTGCAGTGAAGGTAAATATAATATTATATAATATAATACTGAAGGCAAAAGTAGGCCAATGAAATGAAACTGGTGCCTGCAGATGTGAGAGTAGCCTTTCTTAAATGTGCCTTCCAGATACATAGGTTTTCAATTTGCATTTCCCAAATATGTCTATGTGGAGGATCCTGCTTGAAGGTAAGATCCTGTAGCTCTTTTCCCCATTTTATGGTCTTAATCCAGACTGAGCCATCAATGTCTTGGAACATAAGAAGAGTTATGAAGAATTAGATCAAAGGTTTATCATGTCTAATATTGTATCTAAGCAGCAGTAACTTCATCATCTAGGATGAGCACAATTTGGATATATCTCCTCAAGATCCTCAGCAGCTGATATTAATATTCTATATTGAAATTAATATATAGCACCATAAATACATCAACTGACAATATTTGTTTCCCACTTGTTGTTGATACACAGAAAAATGAATGTCTCCCTGATTGTAATATAACCAAAATGTGGGGAAAGTGTTAAAACCCAATTTCCTATGCAAAGTTCTGATACAGAATGGATCAGCTGTATCTCTATTATAAGCTGCTGGTCTGTGAATATAATAAAAATTGATTGATTGGTTGATTGATATCTTTTATTAGACCATTCCAGAGGGGGGGAATAATTTGATAGCAATTGCACTGGCATTTTTGCTTCAAGCTAAGAAGACAAGAGAAAATTAAAAAACAAAACACTTTGAATGCAGTGGTGATGACTCCACTGTTGGAAGACCTAAAGGATCAGATAGGGGACTAATCAGCATAGAGAAAATTTTTCTATCTGGTCGTTAAGAATCAACAGTGATTTAGTGACACATAATAACCACTGAATTATGTCAAAAATCAGCTTCCTTCTTTGGCAGGTTCTCACATTGAAGAAACAGTGCATATATGACACTTGCTGTGGAGATTATGTAAACCAGCCTCTGCCAAACATATAGAAAAGTTATATCCTGGGAATTGTCAGTAAAGAACTTGGTTAGAAAGAGTTAATACCCTAGATAAGGGATGTCAAACTCGCAACGTCATGTGACATGTCACGACGTATCGCGCCTTTATTCCCATTGCTGGCAATGGGGTGGGCGCGATTTTGGCATGATGTATCCGGCCCATGGGCCGGCAGCTTGATACCACTGCCCTAGATATATCGGTATCTGAAATCTTTGTTGATGAATCTCATTAACATTTGTGGAAGAGGAAAGTGTGTTTTCTGACCTTTATTCTCATTGTGCATTTGAAATATACATTAAAATGTGCTGGTTCAAATATTAGCTTGGGCTGCCTTTCTGCAAACAGTTTTACCTGCAAGTAGGTATCCTCAGCCTGCTTTGAGTGATAGCAGACTAGAGTATCTGTAAGTCTGCACATTTGCTTTAAGGATGATATTCCATTTTGACATTTGAAATGACAACTGTAATGGAAACTTCTGTTACCTGGAAATTACTATGGGAAAGTTAGTCAAGAATCTTTCCTTAAAGTCAATAGTAAATGCCATTCCCAACATATATTGGATCTTGAATGGAAACAATGAGATAAAGAATTGGTGTAGACATATAGTAGTCATGATAGAGACACATTCTGTATCAATATATGGTATGTTTAACATGGGATGTGCCAGAAACTTCATTTGTGCAATTGCAAAAGTACAAAATTACATTGCTATTGTAGTGAATTCACAGGAACCAAGGGAAATGATTCTGATATTAATACTTAATATCTGTAACTAATTAAAATAATTCCCCTTCCTTTGTTAAACAGCACATTATGTGAACTATATTACAATACTCTTCAAATCTCTAAAAGTAGTTCATGAAGTTATAGCATGAAGTCAGGCAGCAGCTACCTTAAATATCACACTGGATTTCAAATAAAGGTTCTTAGACTGCCAAAGTTGCAGAATGGAGGCATGCTCAGCAGGAGAAGCAGAGATACTCTGCATCTTAAAAGGAGTCAATTCCAACACAAATATTGCTGACAGAATGATGTGTTGATCAAAGCTCCATTAGTAACACCTCTCTCAAGGCCTTCCTTAAATTAGTTAGAGGGGTAAATGTCTCCAGTTCCTTCTATAATCAGAGGAAAAAGCTCAGATTACACACACACACACACACACACACACACACACACACACACACACACACATACACACACACACACACACACACACACACACACACACACACACACAAGTCTATAGTACAGCACTGCCTAACTATTTCCAGGTAACTTTCCATCCTCTTTGCCTGCAAATGTATTAGGAAGGAACGCAGCAAAGCAGCTCGACGTTAGAAGAGTTCCAATCAGATAAGATGATGCCCCCCCTCCCAATGCAAAGCCGAGCGGGCATTGCTGCCGCCAGGGCAAAGAGAAGTCATCGCCGCTTTACTTCCAGCCAAGGTTCCTGCGGGAGGTCGCGACTGGCTTGTTCGCTCCTCCTTCTACTCCTCCTACACCCCTGCAGGTTTCCATTGGTAAAGCGGACCCATTGCTGTTCCAGGGGATCCCACCCTCGCCTGAGCGGTGCTGTCATCTGGAACTTCACACTGAATGAGCGCCAAACCTCTGGGACGATATAAAGGCGCTCCGCAAGCACTGGGAGGCACTTGGAAAAGAAGTGGCCGCAGAGGCAGAGAAGTACTTACGTTACAAGAGGCCCCGCGATTGCTCTGACTATGCTTGCTGCCGCTTTGCACCTCCCGAGTTTTCTGCTGGCTTGCGCGCTCCTTAAAAGCTGCGTGGCATTCAAAAACGATGCGACCGAGATACTTTATTCCCACGTTGTCAAAACCGTCCCGGCCAGCAGCCACAATAACACCATGAATCAAGCGAGGCACGGAGGCAGGCATGCAGGTTTCGATCGGAACAGTAAGTATATATAATATATATATTTATATATATATATCCCTGCTTTCAACATATGCCCACTAAGACCCTGCAATGAAGAATAATAAGCACATCTTTTCTGATTTCCCAGTAAGGCAGACTGAGATTCATCTTAGTGATAGGTATATATCCTTGATTCATTCATCCAGTGAGACTAAGTCTGAATTCAGACCAAGAGATCAGTCGTGTCACAAAGAATAGCTTTATTCAAGGTTAACTCTGCAGCTACCAAAACTAAGCATTGGAGACTAGCTATACATCTATTTCTTTATTTTGGAAATAGAAATGCTGGGCGCTTTTTGCTAACCACGTGCTTTTTGAGACAAGTATTTGTCTCTAGCTACTTCATAAAGCTAACATTAACCTTCAGCCACAGAGCATTGGTTTTGTTCCAGTGCCACCCCCTTTTAATTAAAAATCCTGATTTAGCACTGAGTGCTTCTCAACCTAAGTAAGCTTAAGATGTTTGAATTTCAACTCCCAAAATCCCCCAGCCTAAACTTGCTGAAGTTGAGAAATACTGATCTAGATGCACATAAGCAGGTGTGTAAATATGTGGGCTGCAACTTACCTTTAAAAATTATTTTTATTTATTTACTTTATTTATTTAAAGCGTTTATATAGCCATCCATCTATCAACCAACTTTGGGGAGCTGAAAAGTATCTTCTCTTCACCCTCCAACCCAAGGCCCAGCAGGCTTGCTTGGTTCTTGCTCAGAGAGAGAAGCATAAGCAACCAGAATTTTTTTTTTGTCTGTCTTGAGCCTCATCCTACATCTAAAAAATATAAAAGTAACATGATCTTTAAAGGAAATAGTTCCATTTTTCAGTGATAGAAAGGCTTAACTATTTTTTCTAGAAAGGTGACTGGAAGGAAGATACAGGAACTATTATATCAATGCAAGATTACCGAAATAGCTTAGTAGTTATTCAGTTAGTAAACTGTCCCAGGAATGAAAAAGGAAAGAAATAAAGAAATACTAGGAAAGCTTATCATGCAGGCATATATTCAAAAGAACAGTGGTGGGGCAGAATTTTTCAGGCAGGAGTTAAGCATGCAGAAGTCCTCTGAAAACAATCAAGTTGGTATCTTCTTGAAAACTACTTAGGGTATCTGATGCCTCATTTAATCCAGTGATAATCTACCCCACTCTGCTTAAGAGAAAAAATGTTAAATCAGTCAGGTTGGCACTTTATTTAAAGCCAGTGCATACCTAAGTTTTATTCCAGTAGGTTTTACATAGAAAAATTGCCACATTGAATGAGCCTCAAAATATACATGCTGATTCTCAAGGTATGACGTTGATAGAAGAATCTAAGGACTCAATTTTAACAAATTCAAAAAATAAATTTTGCATATTTGATTTGGTTGATTTTTTTCACACAAATAAACATAGGAGTCCTGAATGTTGGTGACTTCTTAAGTGTGCTACATATTCATAATAACATCCCAGAATGTTAGCAGATCCAGGAATTTAGAGTTGTAGTTCAGCTAATCAAGAAAGTTCCTATTATAAAATAATTATTTTGATTTCTTGTTTCTGTGATAACATTTACTTTAAGAATATGTAAGACTAAACGATGGTGTGTGATGGATTTCACGGTGTGCATTCCTTTCAAAGGGATAATTATGAAAATAAGGACCAGTCTTGTTTCTATGAGAATATATACAGAGGGAAGCAAGCACAAACATGTCTACATTTGCTGCTATTTCAGCACCTTGGTACAATGTCAGTTGCCTTTAAAAATGAAATAACATTGCCTCAGGTTATGCAGGGGTACTCAAGTTTTAAGAGAGACACTTGCAAGCAGTGGTATAATTCTGTATCACTGCATTCTAAAGAAAGCTTTCTATATAAGAAGATGTACGAAGAATATTGAATTATAAGAATTGTCCTCAAAGTAGGATCAGGTTCCTTTATAGATAACATGCAAGATTTTAGTTATTATGATTAGATTCATCTCAATATAATGTATTAAACTAAACCAACATGCAGGATAAGATCACACAAAATTTAAATCCAGTATTTTGGAGAAAATCCAGCTGGAACTGAGATCCAGGACTATTTTCTATGAAAGGCAGAGAGATGAAAGGGAATCTTACAGCTTAAAGTTATTTCTGATAGTATTAATAGCTAAGGTAGTACTAACAGCAATCTCCTTAGCTTGGGAGAAAACTACATTTATTTCTATATAGTTTGTCTGGGATGGTTCCCTCCAGTCTCAGAAATTCAGATTAGGACTGCAGTGCAAGCAGAATTCCAATTTTCCAAATCTGAGTTTTATTGGGTTATTAAAATAAATTCTACCATATGCTCCAGAATGATAAAGTGGGCTTCAAATTTCAAGTATATGGTAAATGCATACCTAAAAGGCACCAGAAAGTAATGGACTCGTATCATGTATAAGGAAAACATGATTATGCATATCTATCCATGACATTCAGAAATGTCTATTGATTGTGGTAACAGATTGGAATTGGCATCCTTATCCACCCTGCCATTCTTCCAAAATATAGTGTAATATGAACTGGTGACTTATGATTTACTTCCAGTTTGAATTCCTTACTCTAGAAAAATGATGCTGAAGGTATAGTATAGCTGTCCAATGTGTGTGCAGTGTGATATGTGATGTGAGAAATCATAGATTTTGCTCTAAATTCTTTTGTAACTGAAGTATCATGCAATAAGAATGATTAAGAAGGAAACAGCATAAAGACATTGGAAGTGAAATTAATATGGATCTTCTAACATCTATACAGAAATCTAGGGAGGAGGCAACTGTTATACCATATGAATGATATGGTAATAAATAAACACGGATGATATGTCTGTTGCTATCTCTGATACAAAACTTTAAGAAAGGGTTTGTTTTGTTTTTGACAGGTCAAGTTCAAGTTGGGTGTCGGGAACTGAGATCAACAAAATATATTTCAGATGGTCAATGTACTAGCATAAACCCTTTGAAAGAGTTAGTATGTGCTGGGGAATGCCTTCCTTTGCCAGTGCTACCTAATTGGATTGGGGGAGGGTATGGATCCAAGTACTGGAGCAGAAGAAGCTCACAAGAATGGAGATGTGTCAATGACAAAACTCGCACCCAGAGGATTCAGCTGCAATGTCAAGATGGAAGCACAAGAACCTACAAAGTAACTGTGGTTACAGCTTGTAAGTGTAAACGATACACAAGACAACACAATGAATCAAGTCATAACTTTGAAGGAGCAACTCAAGCCAAGCCAAATCAACAACATAAAGAAAGAAAAAGGAACAGTAAATCCACGAAGCAGTCTCCAAGTTAGAACTTAATGTATATGTGGGATGTGTATATGTGTGTGTGTGTGCACGCACATCGATACACACACACACACACACACACACACACACACACACACACACACACACACACAATCCTTATTAATGACCCTCTGTTTTACAGATGTCACTAACTAACACAGGGATCTTCAAACTTGGTCCTTTTATGACTTGTGGACTTCAATTCCCAAAATTCCTAAGCCAGCATGCCCGGCTGAGAAATTCTGGGAGTTGAAGTCCACAAGTCATAAAAAGGCCAAGTTTGAAGACCCCAGAACTAACACAACCCGTCTTATGTTGTGGTATATATACATTTGGGTATATATACATTTGCGGTTTTGACCAAACTCAGAAGGGCATTATTTTCTGAAGGATTTTTTAGATGTGACCCTTCATATTTTAAAGCTGGCCTATAAGCCTACAGTTTATTGGTTTATATACACATATCTAAATAAATAAAATGAATATTTGTTGCCATGGGAAGTCAAACATTTTATACTGCAGACAGCAGCTATTCTGAATTTTTCAGGGGCACTTTCCAGATCACATATTTTTATTGGCAGCAGACATCTTGTTTAAAATAAATGTTTTAATTAGGCTTTATCAGAGTGAAATTAAGACATTTGTTTTAAAAAAAAGATGTTGTTTGCCTGGGATTATTTTTCCCCATAATATAACTATATGAACAAATTGCTCAACAACAAAAAAATAAAGCAAGAAAAAATGAAATTTGAATAAAACCTATTTATTTGACATTGTAATTATTTAATGAATTTTAATATGCTTTATATTTTTAAGATGGTTTTCTGATATCTTTACCATTCTTTCAAGCATCAAAATATTTTCCTATGATTTGTTACCAAATTAGAATATATCTGTAGATAATGTAAATAGATATTTTAACCTTTATACTTTTTCTTAAAAAAAAGAAACACATTTCAAGTGAGAAATTCTAAAAATGTTTTGTAAATACTTTGTAAAATGCATTTTTGCAGTCCAAAGATTGACTTGTCAATTTCATGCATTTTAAATAAAAAAATTCTAATAATTATATATTTGTTTTTATGATGTAATAAAACAACTGATATGAACAAGTATAGGTTGATAATATTGATAGCAACAGAGCACATGTAAGATTTACTCTCTGGTGATGCATAGCCAATGTGCTGAGCTACATAATCAATTATTTGATTCATGCAATAATCTGGCAATAATTTACCTTGCAGCCTTCCTACATCAGGAGACTTAAGTAGTATGAAAAATGAGCTTTGCCAAAAGAGAAAACATATATTGAACTTCACTTGCCAGCCTTTTTTATGGGATGATGTGCTCAGTGGTAGGAAAAATACATTTAGGAAGCTACTTCAATAACCTTCCAGGTCACATGCCCATACACATATGGAAGACAATTGTGCTGGCATTGGCATACCAACAAGTGAATTGAACTGATTCATTGAATGACTGCATGGCCTTAAATCTGACATTCACTCTTGCATTTGTACTTCATTGGGAAGGAACTCAAGCATTCCTGTTTAAAAATAAAGCTATTTTGTCCTGGTATCAAATTTAGAGAGAGAGTCAAGAGAAAGACTGATTTTGAATAATAATTCAGTAACCACTGGATATAAGGATGAAAACTCCATTTGGAGTTTTCAACCTGCTGACAATACAAAACATGCCATTTTCTTGGATTCTTTGTTCAAATTCTTGGGTATGGCCAACAGTTTTTCTTTTTATTCTCCTCAGTCTCACTACAAAAAACCAGAACTGTATTCCTGTTTATTCCAATACATTTTTGCATCATTCACCACATACACTAATATATCAAACTCGCGATGTCAAGTGACATTGTGCAACATATTGGGACAGTTTTGCCATTGCTGGCAATGGGATGGTCTGCGGGCCGGCAGTTTGACACCCCTGCACTAAGGTTTGTGCACGCACTAAATTTTTAAAAAGCAACACTGCCATTTCCATAGCTGCAAAACAGTTGGGCATTTTAATTATAAACAATATGATTACCAAAATGACTTGAATCTTAAACAATTATTTCTCTGTACAGATACTCCTCAACTTACAACCATTTAGTGACCAAAGTTACAATGGCAAAAAAAAAAGGTTTTTCACCCTTATGACTGTTGAAGTATCCCCATGGTCATGTAATCAAAATTCAGAAGCTTGGCAACTGGCAGATACTTATTATGTTTGCGGTGTTCTAAGGTCATGTAATCACCTTATGCGGCCTTCTGAGAAGCAAAGTCAATGGAGAAACTAAATTCACAATTGTGTTACTAACTTAACAACTTAAGTTAAGAACAGTGATTCACATAACTGTGGTAAGAACGTTTGTAAAATGGGATAAAACTCAATAAACAACTGTCTTGCTCAGAAATAGAAATTTTGGGTTCAGTTGTGCTCATGGGTTGTAGACTACCTGTAATTCCATTTTCAATAGGTTACAAATTGGATATTTTTACCTACTTAATTGGTATTTTGAGTGGACCATTCCTAAAATGTGTACAGAGATTGTCTGGAAATACTGTGTTCTCAAAAAAATCTGTTAACAATTTCTTTTGAGTTTGTTTTACCTTAATTTTCCAAATATTTTTTTTAAAAAAATGGCTAAAATACTCTATTTCCAATGACTTTCTAAAGCATGCAAATCGGTGCCGAAGTTGGGGTCGTCTTATACGCCGAGTCATCTTATACGCCGGAAATTACGGTAGTTTCCAGCGTATAAAATGACTTTCTAGGCATGCAAATCAGTGCCGAAGTCGGGGGTTGTCTTATACGCCGAGTTGTCCTATACAGCCGGAAAATACGGTAGCTCTTTGAACTAGAAATTTGGCAATAATGTTTAGTATAAAGAAAATATCCAGTCAATTGCTTTGACTTCAAAAAAGTTTTGTAATTCTTAATAGTTAATAGTTTAATTAATAGTTCAAGCCATTTATTGTTTATTATTTCTGTCCGTGCCCAGCATTTTGTTACTGAACTTTTTCTTTAATAAATAAAGTAATAACTACAATTTCTTGTAAAAATAAAGTGGTGGATAATGTCTGTTTATCAGAGGCTAACTATAATCTGCTCTTTGTGGTAATCCAGACAACAAATCAAATTTATAAGTATTAGCACTACCTTCTTTGTAAGGATACAATAATGGAATCCTGCAAGTCTAAAACATTTCCTTCCTCCCTTGCCTTTATTTTTAGAGAACTAGGTAGAGTCCCTTCTGAGATGATTTCTGTAACCCCATTCTTTCTGTGAGCAATCATTTGTCCAACTATTGTCTTAGCCTGAGGTTCCTCTTCATCCTATTTTCCAAAGTTATTCTGACAGTCCCTTACTACTGTAGTATTGCAAAGGTTGCTTAACGGTTGTCACTTTTTGCTGCTTTTTTCCTTCTACATACTGGGAAAAAAGCAGCAAAAAGTGACAACCTTTAAGCAACCTTTGCAATTGATGGGAGATAATTAGATGACTGATCCCCATTTCACCAAGTCATGTGCTGCCATGTATACCTACTGATATATAAAGAGTATTTCTACTTGGACAATCACACTGGGTCAATCACCCTGTTTGAACGTAGATATTGTGTCACATGAAAGAGCCCCATATTGTGTTAAGAATGGGAATGAGCCAATAGCAAAAAAGAAAGGTGGATAAATTGTGCTTAGGGCTCTTGCTCACTTACATGATCTGGCTCCAACACAGCATTTCTGTTCTTGATTTAATCTTGTGCTTGACCTTTGAGCTTAGCACAGTACCAGAATTATTTATGTCAAAAATTAATGACTTTACCTTCTGAATCTCAGCTATGTTCTGATTAAAGTAAAATGAGCATTTAAAAAGACATCTTGACATATTAAGTATATTACCTATTGAAAAATACTAGCTTTTATTTGATACACATTTCATTTTTTTAAATAAAATATCTGGAATATTTGAATGGGTGGGTGGTTTTATAATGTTAACAGATCTGTCTGCAGTAATAGATAAAGAATCATGATTAGGCTGCTGTACCTTTTGAAATAGAGAATGTGCACTGAAAAGTATTAGTTACATTTAAGGGAAGGAATTATTACTCTTAATTGTTAAAAATCCAGTACTGAAATGAAATTAGGAACTAATGCTGAAAAAACAATGTCATTCTTATTAGTAAGCTATTTTTTGTTGATAAAAACGTCCTCTGCTAAGTATTGAAAAAAAATCATGTATTTTTCTGTGGTACAGAAGTTAATCTATGAAATACAAATATACAGTGATTTTAACAGGTACATTAGGAATGTATGAAAATATTCATTTAAAACATGATCTTCATGCTATTTTGTTGCAACAAAAATTATGAGGTTTGTTTTCTTCTGTTCTACTTTGTCTCTTTAAAATAATAATAATCAGGGCTTTTTTTGTCATAGAACACCCAGAACAGAGTTCTGGCACCTTTTTTGGATGGAACCTTGTAGGGCAGGCAAGGCGGATTATATGACATGTGTGAGTTCCGGCACTTTTTTTTTTTTTTTTATAAAAAAAGCACTGATAATAATCATATTGGTAAAAATTGCAACATCTAAAATTCCTTCATTTTCAATGATCTGGCAATCTTGAAATGTCAAATCAAGTACAGGTAATAGAATAATGCTGACTTTTTAAATAATACAATTGGAAATACCTAAAAGGTTTCTGCTTCATAAATAACTATCATCTCCCTAAACTTGATCTTTGCATCCTTAAAGAGTGCCACATTAATCATGTGTGAGTTCAACACATTCCACTCTGGAATTTTTGTGGCTAATGTGCTAACTTGGAAGGTTTCGAGAAATTAGAAGAATTGGTGAGTGCTGAGAAACATTCTCTTTTCATGATGCATTTCCTTTCCTGCAGGCCAGGCAAGAAAGCTTTGATTTTAATTTTATTGACATATTTATAAATGTAGCTTCGGGTTAAAACTTAAATTTGTCTGCAGATTTATGAGCCAGGCAGACATTCTGTCACGGGGCTTACTCCTTTGTTTTGGCAGTATCCTTGCAACTAAACCTGCCTGAGTGTTTTCTTGAAAGAGAGCCAACTTTTCAAATAATTTCATATTTCAACTTTGCTTTTTAGTCCAAGCATCTTCATTACATCAGAAAGCAGCCATGATTCTATGCAAATTTACTATGGATTGATTCACTCATTCATTCATTCAAATTTATTTGCTGCCCAACTCCAGTGTATAGTAAACTCCATGAAACACAATGGATCTTAGCTTTGAGGAAAAAATTACAATAAGAATGCATTGTCATCTCTTCTTCCTTCCTAAATTCAAAGTTATTTCCCATTTAACATATATAAATGCAAAATGTTTTCAAAATAAAAACAGATGGAACACAAGGCAATACACTTTGCATTATTATTAAAATGCTGTTATGCTTTTCACTTTCCAGTTTCTAAAATGAAAAGCAAAGGATACTCAGAGTTTGGAAGATAATATCATAAAATGCACAATGTACCTATGCATATTGAATACATGCACATTTTGCACTATAAATCTGGATTTATAGGACTGAGTTTTAAGTTCTACTGATATCAGACATAAATAGTACAAATAACTTGTTTCAGAAATTATTCACGTATCTGTCAAATGTCATAAGCTGAATCCTGCCTTATGTATGTGGTGTATCCCAAGACAGTTGCTGATGCTACTGATTTTTATTTCAAATAGCACTGCTTTCACATCCCTAGTACTTCATGCAATTAAGACTTATGTAAAGTTCAGATTTTACAACAAGATTAAAATTAAGAAAAGATTTACCCCAAGAATGCCTTAAGGCTTAAAATTAAGAGTTAGAATTTGTGTATATCTACAATTACCTGTGTATCATTTGCCTAGGTTTTCTTGAACCTTGATTTGTGTCCTAATCTACAATTAATTTGATTCAGATTTTGCAGCAAGTCATTGTTATTAGAAAAAATATGCTATCAAAAGGCTCCATTATTCAATGTAATAGTATCATGTAAAACAGGTTTTTTTTCTCTGTCTTGGCTTGCATTATTGTATTATTGTAGATATCAGTTTATATTTTTGCAGCAATTATTTA